ACTAAATAGTAATTTATTACTATGATTTCTCATAAATTTGCTATAACAGGTATACCACATTCATCTCTTACTGTATTAGGTTAGTTTTAGTTTTTAGGTTATGTTGTCTCTTTCATTTATTAATTATCCAGCATCTTAATGTGTGTTATCTCTGAATCTAGGTTATACTTTCTGGAGTTTGTCAAACTATTCAGTCATCACTACCTGGAATATTTTAGCACCAGGTGGCAGCAAAATCTGAGAGCTGACATAAAATTCTTGGCAGGGAAATACACACCTAATTAAGAATTTACCTCAAACCTCAGGATGGTTAATAAGGAGTGGCAAATGCATTACTTCCCTATTCTCCTTGTTTTTATTTAGATACCTCTCTCTCTCTCTCTCTCTTTCTCTCTCTGTCCCTCTCCCTTCCTTCTTCCCTCCTTTCCCATCTCCCACTCCACCCCCTCATTTCAGTAAGTGGTTATCCAAATTGTGCACACACTGCCCCCCCTGGCCTCCATACGCTCACGTAAACTCTTGCAGACACAGGAAACAGGCAGGCAGCCAAGTGGATAGCACTGGAAGTTAGTTTCACAAGGGCAAGAACTAGGATAGCACAGAGCATAGACACCCAGCATAATAAAGCAAATTGGCATCTGTTAAGAAAATCCAGGACCTAAAGGAACAGAGACTAAGTTCAAACACAGATTCTAAAGGGCCAGAAGCAGAATCAAAGTGAGGTAGCTGAATGAGCCAAAAGGAGTTGTAACAAGAGCAGGTAAGAAAAATAACAGTAATTCACCTTTAGAGGTCAATGAGGGCAGGTGCTTGGTTATTTTGAGTTGGCCTAAAAAGACATAGAAGAAACTAGAGTCATGCTCTCTTAAGTGCTGACTACACCACCTGTACAAGATTTTCCATTCTGTATGTGGTGGCCAAAGAACAGAGTTCTGGGATCCTTTTCTAGTTTTACCCATACTGATCCAAACTGGCTGTTTCCAAGCTTGAGGTAACTCATCATATGAGAGTTAGTGCTAATTTAGTTTTGCCAGAAAAGATGGTAGTGATTTGGGATGGCAGTTCCAATTTGCTCTTATTTAAGAAGCACTGCCTTAGTCACTTAAGATTTTATTTGACTAGGGCCTGCTACTTAAGCTGTCAAACCAGATAGAGATGCATACTTTCTAAACACAAATACAAAATCATTTTAAAGTCCATTAAACAAATTTTTTTAGTTGGAGAATAATTCAAAATTGGCAAGCAACTTTACTTTCAGATGCTTCCTTAATCATGATAAAGTTCCTAATAGTACTTTCCAATAATTAAATTTTGTAAGCATTAAAAAACAAATGGGTATTAGAGCTTTTAGGTATTTTCAACCCCTTTTCCTACTTGTAAACGTCCGCAAATCAGTTCTTGGAACATGTATCAGACTCTTAAATTAGATACCATCATCTGAAGAATCTCTAAAAGGTTTCAAAGGGAATCTTTTATAATCATACTTTATTCCTGAAGCTTTCCACACAATGGCATATTTCACTGTATGACTGTAAAAATGGATTTTCATGTCATATGTCTACAGAAAAAACAAGTCTTTGTTCCAAGGAGCATTTTAGAAGATTCACAGGTATTAATAGGTGGGAAGGTTCCAGCTTTTAGGATAAGAAAAGACCTCGTGTGGTCAGTAACTGGCTCTTAAGAAGTAGCTGTTTATTTCTGGCCTTGCAAACCAAAGAGTGAAGTGTCTTCACAGAGCAGATGTTTGTGGACAACTATCACCAAGATGGAATCAAAGTCCCTCCGTGGTAGAGAGTTGCTATGTGCCCAGAGAGGCCTCAAAGGGGGCAGTAGCCTGGTGTGATTCCCATGTTCCAGGGGCTACACTTCAGGAACATGATTTAGCAGCATGGTGAGAGTGGATATCTTTCTCTCTCTTTTTCAGATGGACACCCACTAACAAACTCTGATGTATGAACCATATAAGAAATTAATGATTAACTTTTAATATAGGGACTTGGATCCTCTGGTAAGTACATTCTTCACTATAGACAAATCTACACAGAAAGCCAAATTATTATCACAAGTCTGCCTCACATAAGCATAGACTCAGAACAAGGGGAATTAGCATATATTTCAAGTGTTTAATAGCATTAGCTTTTATATAGCTCAGTGCACTTGTCTCTATAAGGAACAAGACAGATTAAATCCCTCTCTTGCTTTCTTTATCTGGACTTGATCTAATAGCTTTTCTAGTTCTGCCATTTTATATTCAATTTCAACTTGATTTACATCACATTCTGGTGCAAATGCGCAAATGCAAATAATAAGAACTCAGAAGAGTTGGACAAACTACAACAGTAGACAACTGTTGCTCATGATAATATGAGGAGAAAGAAAGAGTGCCCTTAACTACTCTGCATGACTAGATCTCTAGGTCCAGATAAATTCTATCCCACAAGGTACAAGAAACACAGACACTGCTTATCATCCTCTGAGACATTCTGAGATCAGAGAGATGAGAGGAGGTGCTTTAATGCTAGAAACAAGCATGTGTTCTGATTTTCTAAATAGAGAAATGAGTTGAGCCTGAAAAGACAGGAAAAGTAAGTCTAACATAAAACCTATGGAAAGTTTAGGCAGCTTATTGAACATAGGAAAGAATGCAGTGATCCCCAGGAAGCAACATGAGTTTACTATAAAAGCATTAGCCCTCCAATCAGTTTATCATTTACATTCTAGGCTGGGTTATTTGCAGACATCTTTATTTACTGGTTTATCAGTTTTAAGTTTAAATCCAAATTTAAATAATAAAATCAACTAGATGGTATTTAATTTTCCTTCAATGTTCCAAATAAGTTTATGTATCAACAATTATTTGCTCACCAGAAGTCTGATTAGAACTCTGTAGTGAATCCATTCTGACCACATGCCCACTCTACCTCCTCTAGTCACCCTGAGGGCAGCGTTTTAGTTCTAATAATATTGCATTTATTTAGACCATGTTTAAAGTCCTCTTTCCAAATTCCCTTCTGAAGTTTCCTTTGTCTTCACAGGTACAAAGTCATTGCCCTTTGGAGAATGGATGTTTAACTTTTTCAAAAATAATCAAGTCTATTAGAAACAAAAAGGATGAACTTTGATCACCTGCTCAATTGAATGAGGGGGCTGGGAAGTGAGGAAGGCAAAAATTAAGATTATACACCTTAAGTCAAGGAAACTGATTTAGTTGGTAGTTAGTAAATTGGGCCTGAAAGCAATCTCTAAAGAGATATTTTTTAATGAAGGAAAATGTCCTGAAAACTTTCAAATTATTAAAAATTATCTTGCTTTGATATGTTTAAAAATGCACATTTAAAATGGTAATAGAGAGTATATACACTTTTCCCTATCTTCCTTTCTTCTGATCTAGCAACATAATCTAAGCACTTCAAATATCCTTTAGTAACACAATGGATTTCATTCCACTTCAAACTCATTTTTATATGTGTTATTTTTAAAATATCAGGAAAACAGATTTTATCTTCTAATGTTCTGATAGGCTATAAATCTTTTATTTAAATTTAGAGGTTCTAAAACACACATGAACAAAGATTTGGGTAGTTTTAAGTTTATCTTTTTAAAATTCTTCTGAAAACAAAATTCAAACTTTAAACGCAAAATCATTCAGTTACCAATAGATTCATACTATATTCAAGTACTATGTTATACACGACTTTAACCAAATTTCAAGTTAGGAGATCAGCAGTAGGGCCTGTAATGTTACTTTCCTAATATGCCTCATACATGTAAATTTCCCCAAGGGACATTTCAAGAAATCTTCACCAGAAGTAAATTGACTAAGAAATAAAAACATAAGCAACAAACTCTATCCATTCATAATTTAAACTTATTCCAGAAAGGATTAAAGATGATTTACAAAACTATACATAACTCAACAAGATTTTTTAAAAGCAAGGGAAGAATTAAGAAGAAAACGAATATGAGAAATGTAACCCAGGACTGAAGTGAGCATTCACATTCATGTTTGAAGTCCTATGTACTTGCTAAATTTGACTTGGGCTTTCTAACAGCCATTACAAAGATGGAAACAATCAGTTGCATGATTCATAAAGTTTAAAAAAATAAAGTCTGTTTAGAGGTTGGAAACATTCTAGGTTCTGAAATATGAGGGTAGAGGATCTCAATCACCTGCTAACCTAGAATATTTTCCTGTTGTAAATTGAACTGGTTGAAAGCAGAATTATACAATTTGTCAGGTACTTGACATGCAACTCATTCCTCTGCTCTAAAAAGTTTCAGAGTTCTCTGCTGCCTATAAATTAACTCTAACCTCCCTGATCTGGTATTTTGAGGCCATCCTCAAAACCAAGTCAAAGTGAGCTTCCGGAAGGCAGACAGACAGTATTTCTTATTCAATATTTTGTTACCAGCATTTTCACTGGCTACGTGACAGAGAGGGTGTCAACAGATGCTCAAAGATGTTATAGAAAGGAACTCTCAATCAGCCAAAAAAGCTTTCCAGCCCTCATCTCTCTACTTGAAAGGCCTTCCTCCTGCCAGCTCTACCTGTGAATGTTGACCAGTATCTTCAAAGCCAATAATAATAAAATTTCTATGACCGAGAAAAGCTACAACAACATCACTTCACATTTGTATGGTTGCTGTATTGTTAACAAAGGTCAGATGCAACAATTTTAAACTATTCTCACAACCAGCTTGCCTTGTGGTCTGAGTAGGGATCCCAGTCACTCCTCTACAAAGCAGAGACCAAATCTTGTTAGAAGGTATGTTTTTGTTAAGTGGTAAATGCCATTTTTTCCTGATTTCCACAGTGGGATATGGCCTCTTCCTCTCCTTCAAATTCTGGTGTCATTTGGTTTGTACATCTCTTATGATACTTAATAATAACTCCATACATTTAATGTAGTACATTACAGTTTACAAAATACTTTGTCATGCTAAATTCCTTTTTTCATTCTCACAACTTCATTTAAAGAAAAAAATAATCCACTCCTTACCTTGAAGATCCTGCTGCTCTCTCCACACTCTCTAAAAAATATAAAAAGTGACAGCTACTCAGTAAATTACATCACCACACTCATTTTATCATCCTCTGAGAACAACCAAAATTAACAATTTTTAGCTCCCTATTCTCTGCTAGGTACTGGGATCACCTTTTACAGATAATACTGCTTCAGTTTACCTCTTCTTTGCTCCTAGATTGTTAAGTTGGATTCCCTTCCTCCCCCATCCAAAATAACAGCCAAAAAATCTAGAAATAAAATATGTACTTTCCTTCTCTGTGGCTACTGTGACTAATGAGGAAAAGGAAAAAGGGTGACAGTGCTGAGAAGGAACTGAAACCCTTCCTGAAACCACCAAGTGACTGATTTAGGGACCAGTTCTGGCTGGAGACCAATGGGATGTTGTAATATGTCGAGTAGATCAAGAATATATCAAAAGCTGCCAGTTAGGGGAATTTCTGATAAAGACATCATCAAGTAAGAAAAGACTCCAGCAGAAGTATTTTGGTGAGGGGGCTCTTCATTCCTTACCTTGGTTCAGAGTGACAGTTCCAAGACAGAAAAAGGCTGGGGAACAGAACTAAGGTGGAGGCCACCACCAGAAATTTCCTGCGTCTGAGGACAGGAAAGTCCCTGTGCCAAGAGGTGGCATTACAGTTCCAGGGGACACTCTTCACATGGAAAAGAGTGTGCATGGTGCCCCTGGAGTTACGCACAGTGGGGTCCTTCCCCTGGTGTCTGGCTCTGGTCCTCCTTTACACTGACAAGCGCCACAGGGGATATGCATACTGGAGACCCTCAAGAGACCTGGGTACTCTCAAACTGTAATAACTCATTTGCTGATTTAGCTTGGCATTTCGATTTCAGTTCATTTTATAGCTCCCTGTCAAAGATGTCTTGGGTAGGGGTGGGGGAGTGCAATGGGATTCTCTAGACTTGCTGAGTCAGAACATGAAGGCCAGTATCATGCCCAATGTGTGAATCCTCCCACAACATAACTCAGACTCTTTGTAGCAAAGATTTCCCTGGAAAGAAAGGTCATTTTCAACCCAGACTGTGTGACTTCCATTCTTTACATTTTTCTGGAAAAGCATCACCTTTTAAGAAAAGTGAACTCAAAATTATTCTAACTCATATATGGGTCCTGGTGACTATTTCCCACCTGCCCTTCAGGTCTGTGATTCTCAAAACTGACTGCATGTTAGAATTATCTAGGGAACTTTAAAAAACATATCAATGCCTTGTTTCCACTTCAGACAATTAAATCAGGATCTCTAAAGGTGGGGCCCAGGCAACTATGTGTTTTAAACATCCCCAAGTGGTGGTGGTGTGCTATCACGTATGAGAATCTGTGCCCCAGGTAGGTTACCTTATTCTTCCTCTGATTTCACCCTCAGTGACAGCTTCAGAAGGTTTGCCCAGCTGGATGGGCTCTGTTGTGAAATTGGAGAAGAAACCAATGATATCACAAAGGTGATGAGACAACATATTCTTCAAAACAAATACTTATCAAGTACCACATTCCAGACCATGTGCTGGGAACACACAATAAACAACACAAGGTGCCTGCCCTCAACAAGTTTCTGCTCTAGTTGGAAAGACAGATATGAGAATGACTATACTACATAGCAAAATTAAACTGAGGTACTGTGCAAGCATAGGCTAGAGGTAAGAGAAGATTTCTGGGGATTTCAAGTGGGTCTTCAGGGAGGAGTAAAATTTTGTGGAAAGGAGGCAAAAAGCATTTCAAATAAAGGAATAGCTGAGCAAAGGCATGGAAGCAAGAAAGTGGATGATAGTAGGGAATTATAGGAACTTGGGAGAGCTTCAGAAATGGTGGTTATTGGGCTAGAAATGTGAATTAACACTTGGTGGGGAGGCCTCAGAAGCCCCTACAAGGAATTGGGAGGTGTCATGTGAGTCTGTGTATGTCTTAGATGGAGGGAATCATGACAAAGGTTTAAAACTAAATAGTGGCATGACCAGATCCAAAGAAATAAGAACGTGATCAACATGAACTTTGATGAATACATCTGAGGTAGTTATTCATCCCGCCCTCTAGCAACATTCTGTCTTCTCATCTGCCCTCCCTAAGCCAGGGACCTGAATACATCTCTGCAGCATTCTTTGTGTCTTTTGCATATTCTGTTCAGAATGTCCTTTCCTCCTTTCCTTGATAACTCCTATGTATTAACCAAACTCTGAAGTCACCTTCTCTGTGCTTCTTTATACAGCACTTTTGTAAGGATAGCTAATAAGTGCTTGCTAACTGTATTTATTAACATGTCTGTCATTCCCACCAGACTGTCAGCCTCTAGAGGAAAGGAATGGAATCTTTTAAAACTTTCAATCGCCATGAACATACAATGGGGAAATGACAGCCTCTTCAATGGTTGGTGTTGGCAAAACTGGACAGCTATATGTAAGAGAATGAAACTGGATTATTGTTTAACCCCATACACAAAAGTAAATTTGAAATGGTTCAAAGACCTGAATGTAAGTCATGAAACCATAAAACTCTTAGAAAAAAACACAGGCAAAAATCTCTTGGACATAAACATGAGCGACTTCTTTGTGAACGTATCTCCCCGGACAAGGAAAACAAAAGCAAAAATGAACAAGTGGGACTATATCAAGCTGAAAAGCTTCTGTACAGCAAAGGACACCATAAATAGAACAAAAAGGCATCCAACAGTATGGGTGAATATATTCATAAATGACAGATCCGATAAAGGGTTGACATCCAAAACATATAAAGAGCTCACATACCTCAACAAACAAAAAGCAAATAATCCAATTAAAAAATGGGCAGAGGAGCTGCACAGACAGTTCTCCAA